CTAGGAAAGGTTTTTCAGTAAAACTTTCCTCACAGGAACTACATTATCATTAATAAATAATACATATCAACCCTCTTACTTTTCAGTTCAACTACAATAATTGGGTTACGTACGCCACCCACTCTGCAGTCTTCAGGAACAAAACAATTTTGTATTATTGATGATTTCACCAGTGCCTTATGTCAGTTTGGGTAGAAAGTGATCTTTATAGATTTGTACTGATGGTCTGTATATTCTATGGGGTTTTTTGGTTTGAAAATTGCAAAGTGTGAATGGAAACTGCTACAGGCATTTGTCTAGATTTATTGTTGATAGAAGCAAGTATAACTCCATTGAAGTCGATGGAAATTTACCCATTCACATCCATGGAACATTTGACCCATAATGACTGCTGACTTTGTGGGTGATGTTTTAATCTGAGAGTATAAAAGATGAATTTGCAAAAGTGGTCAGACAGTCACCCTACCCATGAAACCAATGTATAAATGCAAGACTTTCTGCAGATGCATTTTGACTGCTCTATTTGTGCCTCTGTATAAGTACTGAGCTTTTAATGTAAAAAATGAACACAGTGTTTGTGTTTGATAGATAAGAACTTTTGCTAAGTGTAATGAATGTAAAACTCGAAACAGACTGGAAAAGCATAAAATGATTCAAGATAAAATTATATTTTATAAAAATTTGAAGAATTTGAACCTTTGATTATCATCATCATTGTAAGAGAGGGGTCAAACAGAAGTCTTGATTGCACAAAGTCTTTTTTTTTTAAGTGGTCCATTATGAGTTGTGTGTCTGATAACCTTCAGCACTCCTTCACAGAGGACAGATGGATGAGGCAGAGTTCAGAAAAGATTTTTTTTTTCTTGAAGGAGGCAGTGTAGGTGGGATAATTTTGTCTTTATTTTCTGAATAATCTCAAAATATGCTCGGCAAGTGAGCAGAAATACTGGTAGAAAAACACCCACTTTAGATTGCAAATCTACAATGTACCACACAATAAACTCCTAATAAACAACATAATTTTTTTTAAATGCTGCCATGGCCCCAAATGATCAGGAAAGTCTAGATTTGAAATATGTTATTCTTTTCAGGAGAGTAAATGAATGGACTATGCACAAAGCATTATAAAAATCTTACTGTTTTCTATTTATAAAAGTACAATGACTGCCAAAGTCCTTGAACAGGGAATTAATTTTAATGGCAATAGCCATATAGTTCAAGCTTTCCATCCTACTCAAGGTTACAAAAAGAAAGGTTTTCTTTCATGTATTTCTTTAGACTCTCTCTTTGTCCCCTCTCCAGCTTAAAGAGCTTCTTTGCACCATACATCTCTGTTTGCCCAGCTCCTTTTATAAAGGTCCTTTTCTACCTTCCAGTTATAGGGTACTGAAATCATCATTGTGACAAGTGTTCTGAAAGTACTTATCCTGACCTACCTAATTATATGATTGGGCCCAATGTATTTCACAGGCCAAATTCGGTTATTTTGATGTACTTCTTTGTTATAAGCCATTTCTGTCTGTGCAGAACTTCTATGAGGATGCATCAAAGTGAGAAGGCCACAAAAAATGTAAAGGGGGGGATTTAAATCACAGTGGTGTTCAGGATCACTATAGGAAAATTTAACCCTGACGGAAATACATTAGTCTATGGTGGCAACACTGAAGGATGATGCCCACTTTCACATCACAGTAAAAAAAGTTGAATTTAATTGAGGGAGGATCAGTGCTGGAGCTGAGCCAGAGACCACTACACTAGAACAAATACAGCCAAGAAAATGGTAATGAATGAGAGAAAATCAACAGTTAGGCACAAAGCTGAGATGGTCAACATCAGCATGGGGTCAATATATGCTGTCCTCAACAAAGGCACTGAGTGCCTGCAAAATGGGCGACCAGAATATTGAATGGTAATCAGAATAGAGAGAGGCTTGTCACTTCCAGGGACTTTTTGGGGCAATGTCAAGCAAAGCCATAAAAACTTATGAACAGTTTTGTAATTCAGGATTAGATATGGGTTCCCCACTTTGATTCTAAGTGAATCAAATCCTGCAGTTTCCACTTCTCAAAGAACTAAAAAGTATGACTTCAATCTGTAAAGTTATCACTATGGTTCTTTGCAAGACTGAAGGAATAAATGTGACTGACCTGTCTACCAAGAGGCCAGAACATCCATGAAGAGTATTTTATTATGTCAAGCCATCAAAAACAAGTTAAGGAGTTCTGCTTTATACATCAATCCGCACATCCCAGGTTCCAATGACTGAACAACAGTGGCTTGGAATCACTTATCTGTCTTATTCTTCAATCTGACTCTCTCAAACTTTTACCTGTTCCTCAAATTGAAGGGAGGCCTTGATAAGAAGAGTGTCAGTTATGATAATGAGGTGATTGCAGGAATCAAGGAGTTTCTGGATGTTCAGGACAAACAGTTCTCTGGGTGTGCTCTGACAGGTTACCTTTACATTATTTTAAATGTGTGGAATATTATGCCAGCATAAAGTTAGGACTAATTCAGAGAAGTCACTGGCAAAAGCTAAGTGCTGTCTCAGACCTGCAATACTATTATGTGTCACTACAGGGCCTGGCAAGGAGGGGCCTGGGCAAGAGCCAGGACTTGTGGGGTGGGAAAGGATGGTAGAGGTGTATGGCATGAAGGTTAGCATTCTTCCGGGAAAGAGCTGTGGCTTCTTTTATTCCCCAGCCCACTAGACCTGTGAGTCAGAGGGAAAAAAGTCTTGAAAAAAATTGTTTGAAGTGAAGTGAATGGGAAGGGGGTAGAAGAAAAGAGAAGGGAGTGAAAATAAGAATAATTAAAAAAAAAAAGAAAAGAAAAGGTGGAATATGTTTCACTAAATTGGGATTGGGATAGAGTTGTGGGGAGGGTTGGGTTAATACTTATGCTAGGGCCGAAGTGAGACCCAGCAGACTTTCTGCGTGCCTGCCATATCAGGGAGGAGCTGAGACCCATCTGAGAATGCTCGACCATTCTGTGGCTCATTCTTTTCATGGAAGTAGGTGGTAGGATTGCTGTTGCTGTTTGCATAGGGGTACTACACTAACCAGCAAACTGGGGAGCTGCACCTGGGTGCTCCAAGTGGTTGGGGTATGCTGGGGTTGCACCCGTTGTGGCAGAATGGGGTGTTATCTTGGGACCAGCATCACCCAGCTGGATGGTAGAGTTCAGGAGAGTTGAAAGTTTGCCCACAGATCAAGAGAGCGGGAAGGGATAGGAATGACACACCCTGGGATATAAGAGAAATGAAAATAGACGTTTTTATCTTCCTGGAGCAACTGAAAAATACCCTAGAATGACTTGGCAAAACAGATCAAAGATAACCCTCACTTGAAGTGGCATAACTTTAAAATACTTAGAGGCCATTTAGAATGTATTAACACTCTTTAATGGGTGTATATTTCTGCTTTAAATGTCTTTATGCCAGTTTAAAGGTAACCTGAGACACTTATAGTCAAGTTGCAGTTGTACTGGACCAAGTGCACTGGTGTTAAAAGGAGCTGTTTTGAAATGTTAACAGTTGAATGCAAATGTTTTTTATTTGTCAGGCTAGAAATTTTCTGCATGTCCCTCATAAATCATTAAAGACCAGAGTAATAAGGAAACCCAAACAATTCCATTATTTTTAATAACTCATGGCATCCCGCTTTCCCAATCATTTATAGTACCAACAATTCAGCTTCAAACATTAGGAATAGTGAGAACACTAATGCTGACCAGCTATTAGCTTTCTAACCAGCACTATCCTGTTTAACTGAGTCACCCTGTCAGAGATAGTTAATTTTATCCCCAGACCAGAGTGTGTGACATAAAGATAAAAGAGATGGTTAAAACTCCCTGTGCTTTATATAGTCTATCTACTTAGGTCATCAGAGTCCTGCTGATAACCAGTAATTGCTTTAATATTTTTCTTTGGATTAAGCAGAAAGAGTCTGATAAAGATGCTTGGTTGTTGTTTGTTTCAGATCATTTTTGTTTCTTTGGGAGTTGTTTTTTTTTTAACATACATTTCACAAAATGCTAGCCCAATTTTCATTTCACAGGACAAGGTGAGCTTTCCATCTCATTATACAATGAATAGTGATAAACTAGAATATACATTTTAACAATTGCTAGCAAAGATCACAGGCTGTTTTCTGTGCTATAGCTTAAGGATGCATTGTGTAAAGTGGGGAATATAACAGTATGAGATGGCATTTATCCTTATTATGGGTGAAGCTCAAATTTATTTTCTGTATACATAACTCTTGAGCAATTAATATTGGCTGTTACCTGCAGGTTGTTGATTTACTGTGTCAGCACAAGTGCACTATATGCACCTACCAAAGTAGAATGTAGGGCAAATACAAAGCTTTGATAGGGTACATATTCTTACCAAGAAACCCCAAGAGAAGATACCTTCTTGCTAAAGGAGCAAGTATTGGCATCATGCACACAGCCTAGACTCATTTGGAGAACCACTCATTTTTCGTCTACCATAGGATTCGTATGACTTTCCAAGAACTGAGGTCTGAGGAGATATTTTTTGTTGTATTTTGGCAGAACTACTGATGACAAAGGGGAGTGGATTTATGAACCTGTAGAAAAAAATCTAATCCACTAATGTGCCTATTTTTGAGTGGATGCCTAATAAAATATGTATTTTTCATTATTTTCATCCTTATCTATTTACAGAATAAAAAAGGGATACATTTTAATGTAAATCTTTTAGTTGCATTTGAATTGCTTTGGTTTGGAACTTTCCATAGTAAGTTAAAAGTATGTCCCTCAGCAGACTAGCAACTGTCATCCATAAAAAAATGTTGAATATATTTGACTCTTTCCATTAAAGGCAGACAAAAAAAGGAATTCAGTGAATCTACATATGTTGCTGTAGCTCAAATATACTCAGAGGAATGCAGGTTAATTATTCAATTATTCTTCTGTCACTTTATTCTGTACATTTGCACTATGATTAATTGTGTTCTGTTTCTTTTGATTAACAGAAAATAGTGATGTAGATGAGGAGACTATGAAGGCAAACTCTCAGGGGTTTATTGGATGTCTCTCTTCAGTGCAGTTCAACCACATTGCTCCTTTGAAGGCTGCATTGCACCATAGCAGCTCAGCCCCAGTCAGTGTAAAGGGACGCTTCACTGAATCCAACTGTGGTACTTTAACTGCAGCTGACTCAACATCAAGTGAAACAACCCATTCATTTGCAGGTAGCATATGGCTATTGCTTGTTCTACTCTCTGAAACAAAATACAAGTACAGTGTTCAGAACTTCAATCACTACTATCTTTTTCACATGGGGTACTTGGCAGGGGTAGTTTGGAAAAAAAAATTTCTTCTGTTTCCTTTTCCTTTCTATTTTTCTAGCCTTTATCTTTTCTCTAAATGTTTTAACTTTCCTGTTCGCTTCCATATAATGTGATTTATAACATTAATTTTTAGAGCCTCATAGATCTTCGCTAACTTCACAGTTCCATATTGCATGTGAAGTATTATCTTAAGAACCCTTCTGTGTCATTTTCTTTTTTTCTGCTGCAGATCATTCTGGACCAATAGATGAGGGAGAGCCCTTAGCTAATGCAATCAGAAGTGACTCTGCAATTATTGGAGGTAATAGGGACTATAAAAGCTTCACTGGAATCATTTTTAAATAACTTTGAATCTTTCACTGATCAAGTGAAGTCCGTGGGAGTTTTGTGTGCACAAGACAAATTGTATAAGGGCCCTGTATAACTATAAATGTTAAACACTGAGTGAAAACATAGAAGTGGCATTTTAAAATACTATCACTAGCACTCATGTTCTAATTATATGGTGAGAGCTTGTGTAAGTGCTGAAATATTCTACACACAATTTTAAGATGAGTTTGCCATGCTCCTTAATATAGGTATATACAATATGGAAATAAACCAGTTGGGTGCCTTAGGGCAGATAGCATATATTCAAGGAAAAGGAATTTTATAGTTCTCTGGCTATACCAATTATTCACTTTTGCCAGCAGTGCATGTCCAAAGGGAGGAAACCCTTTTGTTAAATATATCTCAGCTTTTGGCTTGCCTTTATTCCTGACAAAACGGGTATTAGCTTTGCTTGATTGAGGGTGCGTCTCCACATGCTATTAATACGTAGCAATAAACTCTGACACATATGGCAGTGGGGGAGGTTAGCCTGCCAGCCTGAGACTGCTCCCCCCAGATCAACATGCTGCAAAGTGGCTGGCTGGGGCATGAGGTTGCTCTGTGTGGAGCTTGCTGCACTGAAGCACCCTTGTGCCTCAGCCAGCCCCATCAGCATCTACATGTGCACTGCTGTGATGTAAAAAAAATTGCTGGTCAATCTAGATGATTCAATTAGAAAGGAATATGATCTTCCTGAAATAGCACTTTTCAACATTTTTATTAGATAGATGATGGCAGAATTATACATAATTCCATTTATCTAAAACTAAAATGGCACTTACTTATACAGTATATTACCCAAAAAAATATTCATTGTGAGGACTAAGGGAAGTTGCGTGGTTAAGGAATACAATTGGGTATTAGGAAATCGTTACTCTGTTCCTCTGGCTTTTCCGGATCTCCCAGATATCTTCTGAGCTGAAGGCCTTCTCAATAGTTGCTAAGAAGCCTACCAATTTTATCTCTTCTCTTTACTCCATATGTCAATTAAATCTAAGCAATGAAAGATTAGGGACACAGAACTCACTGGAGAATTTCAGTTTCCATAACTGATTTGGAAACAAGTATATGTCTGTGACAGTTCATGATTTTTCTTTAAAGTGTTATCCTGTGAAGCACTATCCCATGAGAGTTTTCTGATGGTATTTGTTTCCCTTGGGAGGAGATGTAGAGAATGAACTTCCTCTTCACTCCTGAAAATGGATTTTCTTCTGTGTATTTCACTCACTGGTTCAATTTCCATTAGTCATTTCAACAGAAATAAGAATGGTTTTTCCTTCAGTCCTCTGGTTAAATTCAGAATAGATTTCTTTTGTAAGGACATTAAGAACCTGAACAGACAAATGACAAAAGTAAAAAAAATCTAGGGGAACAAAACTGTGAAAGCTTCCTACTAAGGATACAAATATTTAGAAGAACAGTTTGTGAAAAGATTGTTGTGCTAGGACTAGAACCCACAGCAGGAGCGGGCAATTATTTGGGCCCACAGGCCATATAAGCAGTTTTGGGGAGCTGCTGCAGGCCAGTTCAGCACTCCCCCCGCCCCACTGCAATAACCCTGCAGCAGCTTTCTGCCACCACTACTGCACCCAACAGCGGCTGAGCGCATGGCCCTTGCCTCGGCCACGGCCACGACCCACCCCGGACTTGCCTTGGCCACAGCAGACTAGCTCTGGACCAGCTGGGACTTGTGCCTATAGATCTGATTCTGAGCTGCCCTGCAGTTGCTCTGGACCTGACTACTCATGATGTGCAGCACCAGTAGCAGTAATGGCTGGGCAGAAGTTGCTGCTGGGCATGGGAGAAAAACAACATCCTCCCTCTCACCACTGCTGGGCCCTTCTTGCTGTGGATGCATGGAGCCCATGCCCAGGCTGCCCTGCAGCTCCTCTCTGCTGTCACCACTGCCCCACTGTGTGGCATGGAGGCAGCAGTGGTGACAGCAGTGTTTGAGAAGCCACAGGGCAGCCCAGATGCAGGCTCTGGGCAGCCTCAGATGTAACTGAGACACCTACCATGGCCTGAACAAAGTCTCTCTATGGGCTGAATCTGGCCCATAGACCAGATTTTGCCCACCCCTGATCTACAGTCATCTATACACATGCTACTTAAATGATGATATCCCATAGCCAATGAGACACATGGTTAATGGTTCCGTGTCCCTCATGTCATTATTCTAGAATCACTGCAGAAACAGATTTAAAAGGTTTAAACCTGGCCTGCAAAAATGCCAATGATCACATTTACAATTTTAAGGCAACTTTTGGAATACCTTCTGTTAGAACTGGGATATGCAGGATATTAATGGTTTTTTACCACTGTGGTTAATAACCTGGAGCTACAAAGTTGAATTATTATTAGAAATGCCATTGAATGAATGGATATTTTGCATATGATGAACGAATGGAAATGAGACTTTAAATTTAATGATACTGATAACAGGACCAATGAATATCAGTCAGATATGTCTCCGAGTGATTTTTAGATGAAACTCTGAAAATACAGTAGCACCTGGTGATTTTGGCATTGTTTATTTATTCATATTTATATCCTGTCCTTCATATTAGGTTCAATAAGGTCAGGATTTCACTGTTGGTTCCTGATATTGGGTTCTATTATGTGCCTGCCTCTTTGAATGTTTACTTTTCGTGTAGGAAGAATAATTATTTTATGTTCTAGATAATTTGTTTGCCATGTATTTTCTTGGTATACTAAAAACACAGGAGATATTTTATTAGCTACTACAGTTCCCTTTATTTTAAAAAGTTAACTAAACATCCCTGGATACTGTGACTAAGCACATTTAGGTTTATGTACACACAATGTTTTATGGTTTTAAGCCTATGTTTAAATATCTTGTTTAAAACAAGACCTAGTAAAAACATTAATAACATTAATAGCTACCCTTCCCAGAAAATGCTCAGAGTGGCTTGCAGCGTTAGGGTGGTGTTGCACATTCAACTTAACATTTACTAAGTGTAGTTAAAATGCAAGCAGATGCATTTTCAAGCAATTTAGCATGAATTAAGTGCCCTTGTGATGTTGCAAAGTTGTTCCCTTTCAGGCAAGGGTTATCTCCTAATACACAATGTGACATCCTCCTAATACATGCTAACTTCAATACATCACAGCATTTTAATGATTTGCAACTATTGCAAATGAAGGTGGGAAAAGGCCCTTACTTCATTCAGAGAAAAATCACACAAGGATGTTCTTGTTCTTTAATATAAAATCAGTATTTTTCAAGATGGCTGCTTGAAGGAGTTCATAACAAACTGACAAATCTTTGAAATTTTTTGAAAATAAGTATCCTATTTTGACTTAAAATATCTGTCAACATGGAACTGTCAGTATTTTCCATTTCTTGCCCAAATCAATTACAGTATCAGTACATTAATTCTTCAGTAGTAGCTTCTCTAAGCCTTTCTGTCCAATCTAGGCTTTTATACACTACCTATTGATCTAGCCTCTTATATGGCAGTTGTCACCAAGGTATCTAAGTATTTCCCAAAGTTATGAAGTACACATTAAAAGATATATGTTGCATTCCCTTTCTTTTCTATCCAGTCAGTTGGGACTGCACTATTAGTGTTTTGTTATCTTTTTCATTGTGGTGTCAATCTGTCAAGTGATTATTTCTAATTTATTTTGAAGGAGAGGAATAGCCAGTACAACCTGTGTAGCGCACACAGCCCTATATATGCAGGGAAATAATATACACTCACCTGCCCAATGAAGCACAGTACCACAAACCTAGCTTTGGAAGTGAAAGTGTCAGACATGCACCTTATTTTGGGGCCCACAGAATGTAGGTGTGTTCAGTTTTTCAACCATATCTTGAATTTCATAACAATTGTCTAATAGTACACCATAGTGCTACACTATGGCTGATGACAGGCAATAAGAAAAAAATGTTTTACCAGAAGATACAATATGTTAGTTTGACCCTGAATGCTCCACAGTGTCTGTATGGATTGTGTGCATTAAACCTCTGGTATACTCTCTTATTGAGAATTAAAGTGTTCTTAATTCAGATTATCTTAATTCACAAGTAAATTTGGGTACAGTGCAATTCTCAAGTGAATCTAGCTATCCAAATTAATCCCAAATAAGCATTTCTACAAAAAACTTTGTTGCAGTCCTCCTAATCCACTTCGAAATTTAATTTGAATTAACTTCCTAGAGCATCCTAGCATAGGCAAACCCTGACAGTCAGGTTATTGTTTGCTTAGTTTGTCTGATCACTTTCCTCTCCTCTTCTCTCCTTTCTAGGTGTGATAGCAGTTGTGATATTCATCCTGCTTTGTATTGCTGCCATAGCCACACGCATTTATAAAAAAAAAAGCATATATAAGAAAAATGAGGCAAAAGGATCAGAAAATGAGGACAGTGCCGAGTCTGCCCTGAAAAGTGAGCTCAGCATGCAAAATACAGTCAACGAAAATCAAAAGGAATACTTCTTCTGATTGGCACTTATGATTTAATTTAATATAATAATGTCACAGTCTGACTTTCTTGCTAAGCCAGGGGCTCTCAATGGACAAAAAAGCTCTTGCACTCAAAGTAAATGCAATGGATTTGAGACCTATTATACTGCATATGTTCAGTCTCAGTGATTGCTATAGGAGGCCTCTTTAAATTACATGCATTCCTTAGCTATTATACCGTAAATGCATTTTATGTAACAGTGAATTAGATATTGTAACCAATTTCATTGTTGATAGTTTCCGACTGTTCTGATGTGACCTTCTACAATTGAAGTTTAACGTGCATACTGAATATGGTTTTTAAATGGGAAAATTGTTATGAAGTGATTGGCCCCGTCCTTCTCTCTAAAATCTATAATTCAGGACTTTTATTCAAGGTAAAAAGTTGGATTACAATGTTTTGCTTTAGTCAAGAAAGTATTCTATATTTCTCAATAGTGATGCCTAGTGAATTTCTGATATCAAAAATACCCTTTCAACCAGTGTTGGCTAATGTCAACATCTACAAGTGCTCAAAACTGAACAAAACTGTTACTGTTTTTCCTATGAGGAGACCTCTGTAGTTATTATCTGATCAGTATTTAATCTGGATGTGGAGAGTGGGGTAATTTTGTCAATTTTGCCCCCTTTATTCAATTCTCCCTGATATGACTAAAGTCTTCAGCTACTGGACTGAGTTTTAAAGTTTGCAAGTCTATTGGGGCCTATGTGGAAGGGTGCACTGAGTGCACTGGTATGTTATACAATCTCTTTTTGTAATATATTTCCACGCATGGTTTAGTGGTGGCAGCAGGTTATAACCTAACACCTCTATGCATTGTTGCAGAATTATGCCTGCTCAAGTTCATGCTGTTCATTTAAAAATAAGAGCAAAATATTATTCATGTTTGGTTTATAATTAATAAGAGCAGCAAAAGTTGTGCAAGCAGATTTTGTGCGTGACTTGGCAAATATTGGAAATAAGAAATGTAACAATGCTGCTTATGTGTAATTGTTTCCATTCACTACAAAGGGTATACTCTGAAAACATAATGTGTAATCCTCCCCAAATCTCAAGCTTAATTTCCATACAGCAAAGAAAAGACATTTCTTTTTTTGATACTGGCAAGATGAGATATTTGAAAACTAGTACACTTGCTAATAAGCTAACTGCACCCATTAACAGCACCTATTTTACCGTATTTACTCAAATCTAAGATGGCTCTGGATTTCAGATGCCCCCTCCCCAATAATTAGATTCTATGTATGGAAAATGTACATATTTGCTATAATTGTCCAGGTATATAATCTAATTATTGAAAGTTAGTCTTGAATTTGTACCATACCCTCCTCCCCCCCGTAGGGAAAATAGTGGCTGGGGCGGCGGGGTGGGGGTGTCAGGCAGTCCCCTTGCCCTCTGTGCCCCTCCTCCCCAATTGTTTATTCCTGTAGCTCCTTCACCCTCCTTTCTGTCAGACACTGCTTGGGCTCTGTTCCCTCCCTGACCACATGCCTGATGCACATGGGAAGAAGGGGAAGAAGGGGCAGAAACTGCTGAAAACAAGCAGAAAGTACCTTAAAATGTAAGGGACCAAAACTTATTGACTTTGAAATAAGTATAGTTGTAGTGGTTTGCATTACTATGGGTCCCTACTTCCTCAAAAATTGATGCATTTTATCTTTTTTGCTAACTGCTGCAAGTTTCAGCAAAGTTACTCCATAAACACACTTTTGAGCAGAACTTTTGCACCTACTTACACACAAACTATTCATGATACTAAACCAAAGCCAAAATGCTCATTATTTATTACTTAGTTCATTGGGTTGGGCCTCAGCAGAGTCGACAGTGTTTCAAGCCATGGTGACTCTACAGCCCAGCACTGCTCAGTATATGTACTCCAGATACTTCCCCTCTTCTTGCAAAAGATAAATGTTCTAATTAGCCCCACAATTGTCTCTGGAACCAAGTTTTCTTGTCCTGAGTCCTGGGTCCCTCCAAAATGTATATGCAGATGATGTGCAGGGCACCTGTCACTGACTGGCCAAGAGACGGGCAACAGAGCTTCTCATCTACACAGATATTTGGTGATGTTTGCCAAACATTTAAGGCTGGTGAAGAAACAGGAATTATTGGAAATGCGGAAGAATGGCACTGCTTAGCTGTGGGAATGAAGAGGAAGTCTAAATATAATTGATGTAGTAGTTCATCATGTGCTTAAAAAGAGTTGGTGCTGATAGGGACTGATCACAATGGACATTATATCTTATTCAGGTGGACTGCACTAATCTAGTCTTGTGGTAGGTTCTCATCTATATATTTGCTCAATATGGGCCATATGTTTTACAGATACGCTCAGTTTCATCTGCGTTGAATCAGCTTCATAGCTGGTTGCCATTACTGAGCATATTTTGCTTCTGGCATCAGTTTAGTGATAGACAGTGCATTTGATGATAATTTTTGTATGCAAACATAAAAAGGGGATTTTTTTTCTGTGCTGATTGGAGGGAAATCCTCATTTTACATTTGAGTAAATATGGTACTTCTTATTGGGTAAATACTGCTTAACTGTAAATTACTGTTTGAGCCAAATATACAATCACTAGTGTAGAAGTTTGAAAGTGTGGCCTTCAAGACTGAGTCATAATTTTACACACACAAATTGTTAGACGTTCTTTTTCGAGAATAAAACTTTCTGTCCCTCGAGTTTGATTTTAAGCAAGCAAATAGCATTTATGTTTGTTGTTTTGAAACTCAGAAACTAGAGTTCCAAAAGCAGTCAGAGCTGCCCTAACTTTTCTCCTGTTAAAGCCAATGCTAATTGATTTAGTGGGGATAGAGTTAGAGCAGCACTGAACACTTTTTCAACTCTCTCCCCAGTTGCCCACATACAAAAATCTTGGGTAATATGGGCAAGGTTTTGCATGTCCACAGTTGCTTTAAAAAACTGTGGATATGCAAATGTAGAGATCAAATTAAAGCCTTTTTAAAAATGTGGCCTTTTAAAAGTTGGTTTTCCTTCTTAAATTATTGCCTTTTATTTTTAGAATTTAATAGTCTCTTTTCTACTTCTTGTTGTAAAATGCTTGTTCATTTCTAAGGGACAAATTCCTTCTTTTTTGGTAACACTGGATCCTCTCCGATCATGCAGCCTTCAAGCTGAGGCAGACAGTCCCACACTGTTCCTCTCCTTTTGCAGGGCTGAGTTTCTCCCATATTTCTCGGTTCATAATTATTAAGCATAATTTGATGGCAGTGATAACTAGTCTAGTTTTAATGCTTCCCCTTTGCTAGCCCCACCTCTTCTGGCTACCCTTAAATCCCTTTTAAAATAGATTCCCTCTACCTCTCTCCTCCTTTTACAGGCCTACTCCAAAATGTATGGAATGGGGATGCTTCCATTTGGAGTTCAGATGAGGCCCTTTCTCATTCATGAACCTGCCCTTCCTTATCGCTTTAGTGTGCTCTTATGGTTTGCTTCTGTCCATCTATATGCATTTTCTGTATCAAGGAGACAGTTGGTGTAGGAGCCACATTAGTCTATATAAACATTTATCAATCAGAGGTGCATTAGTAATCCTATGGAGCAGGACTAGACTGGGATGCTTAATGCTTAGTTAGCATGCTGCCACCACAATGGCTTATTAGATTCAATTCTAAAAGACACAGTATGCCATATGGGCACTTCCCACATACTAATCAAGTTGGAACTGGGAATCCAAAGTGTAACCACACCAGGACAAGTTGGAAATATGCAAATTTAACTTTCCAGTTTCATGTTGTTTCTTCTTCCATTTATTTGTGTTAATTCTGGTTTTGTGTGTCTAAATGCAGAGAAAAGTTTCTTTCACTATATTCTATCAAAAAAATGATTTCCTTTCGCTATTCTTTGAAGTCTATTTTTTTTTAAGTATTAGGTAGGCAATAGCTCAGTAAAAGACCCGATTTCTCTTTATAATTAAAAAAGGAAAGAATAAATGTCTGTATGAATGATACACTATTTCTCTCAAAGAAAAATGTTCTAGCATTTTATTGTGTGAAGGATTCTAGAGAAAAAGAGAGATGAGTTTTGTTGAATGCACATTTGTAATGCGACATACAACAATGGCGTTTCTTAGAGGGAACAAATGCCCATTTTCATCCATTGAAAATGTAATAATAAATTCAGCATATTGAGTCCACAATATGCAGGTTCAAAATCAGTGAAGCAGCATTATCCACTATTTCCTGCATTCTTATAGGTACAACAAAATGGTGGCACCAAAGTGCACTGAAACATCATACACCATTATACTGTCCCTTCTTATTATAGTATGTGACTTTTCACCTCTCTGTTAATAAACAAACAATTTTTAAACTAAAGTGAGGAAAATATTTTTAAAAAATTTGTATAAAAGTTTAAAACTGAGGACAATATACTGATTCATTTTTTTTAAACAGTAAAAATGTAGAAGTGCACATAATATACTGGTGAGTGTGTTTATTTATAAAATTGTTGTGGATCTTAGAGCTAGTATAGTCTATCTCCTGTACACTGACAGAATTTTCATGGTAAATATATTCTTCTTCAAGCTGATTAGAAAATCAATAGTAGCCTGAAACATGGCTAAATTCTTAGCACACTGTGTGACTTAAGGTGGCATAGGGGCTGCCATAATTTATACATCTTCTATTTAATCAACTTTTGTACAGTGGTGATTATGTTCCTTTTGTCTTTGAACTGTTTTGTTGGTGCATTGTCCAAGAAAATGTGTAACACACTAAACATGATGGAAAGTAACATACAAGTAATTAACATAAAATGCTAGGTCCCCATTTTGTCAGAGCTAGCATTTGATAATTAACATTGATACAAATATTTTTGGGATGTGGCATACAGGAAAAGATCAATGAGTGACTTTTACAAAATGCCCTTTTGAAAGAAAATGAATTAATTTGCAAAATCATCTTTAAAGTTCACATTTATATTGTCAGTTCAACATTGCAGAGCCATGCAGTCCCACCTAGAAAAGGTAAACTTTTGTCTGTAACATAAAAAAATATGTTTGTGAAGTCAGAAAGCACATCATACTGAAAAAAATGATGTGCCCTCCTCTCTGGGGTGCAGTAGCAAAGTATGCCAAAACGCCATGTAATTGAAGTGTTCAGGATTTTATTAATCAGGCCCTAATTCTGCAGCCCAAAGCACAAGTGGATCCCTGGTGCTTCTGATTTATTAATGAGATTGAGCATTATTAAGCAAAACAAAGCAAAAAGCTTAGTGCAGACATTAGTATTAAATAAAAGGATAAAATGGTATGAAAGCACTTCAGTCCTTTCAGTGTTTTTATTAAACACATTGAAAACACCTGGCTCAAGAAAAAAAAAAAGAAACTTCATTAAGTCCTTCATTTGCCCATGGAAAGTTTCCTCTTTTTCTTTCTTATCATTTTTATGTTGTTCCTGGGCAGGTACTAAATGCATCATAATCAGCACTACTGCACAGTAGCACTGGTGCATGTCTTTTATGCGACACTAATGTGTAGTCGACTAATTCTACTGTGCATTAGCACATAGCATAATTTTTGACATGACACACTAATGAGCAGTAGAATTAGTCTACTTTGCTTCTAGCATCTTGTGTAGATGCACTCACTAACCTGAATGGTAGTGCTCAAGGTACTAGGCTGAGAGCACAAGTGACCAGAACAAGCACTGCATGAATATATATTATGCAAGCTTTTCTCTATTTGCTTCAGTCCTGCTTCTGAAGGACTGCTGGGATTCCCGAGAATGGGGTCAGCTGGTGCCATAGATGCAAATATTTGGATGGATATGGATATCTTTCCATGGGACACTGAAGTGAAAACATAACCTCATTTCATGTAAGCTTCTATCTTCAACCTTTGGTCACATTCTACCCCAAATTACCCTTTTCAAACACATTAGGTTAAAATGGCCTTGAACTGGGAATAACCAATGAAAGAATCTGACTTATTAACCCTACTCATCTGAACAGCATTAAACCTATAGCTTAGATGTGAACAACACCATACATGTATGGTTCTTTGGGTAGATGCAATATCTTTTATTAGACCAACTAAAATAGTTGGGGAAAAGTTTTTTGCAAGCTTTCAGGCACAAACTCCCTTCTTCTGGCACTGGGAGACTCTGCTGCTGTTATGAGTTCTCTAGGGTAGACCTCATAACAGCAGCAGTCTCCCAATGCCTGAAGAAGGGTGTTTGTGCTCAAAAGCTTGCAAAGGCAAAAGGTTGGATTTTGTGAGAGTTGGATAAGATGACAAATTATTACATCGACAGTGTGAGATAAAGCCATTGATATACTAGTGCCTAATGCTGGCTGTAATTTTACCATCAGATACAACATCTGCTTGGAGTCCTCTAACAATTTTGGTATGATACTTACTGAGGAAAACAAAAGTTTACTGTTTATATATATACAGTAAACAAAAGTTTACTCTGTGTGTGTGTGTGTGTGTATATATATATATATATCTGTTTGAGGTATATGTATATAATTTGAGATTTCCATCACAACACGTCATTGAGCAGGGACGGAGCGGAGGGGGATTTTCTTTGTTTTAAAACACAAGAGCATCCTTCAAAACCTTTCTTTGGCCAGTAGTAATTTAACTACAAAGAATCTAACACAAAATATACTTGATCAAGAAAAAATGTGAACATGAACCATTTCACCATAGTTCATGAATTGGCAGGTACCTGTTTACAAGTGCCATAAGCAGTTAACAGGATTTCAGCATATATGAATGAAGAAATGTGTTTGATTTGATCCCTCAATCAGGAGCCCAGGATTTCTAATCTCACCTTTTACATCATATCTCTCTGTGGCCTTGAGAAAACTATTAACCTTTCTGCTCCATCTGTACAACAGAAAACCATTGGTTTTGTGTGGTTTGATTAGTGTTTTTCAAGTATTTTGAAGTTATTATTAAATATTATAATGAAACACAGCAGCCTTTTTATTATGGCACAATATTATTATGAATAAATACATTAATAATCATATCTATTTTAGCTCATGTGCTTCAGGAACTTGTCCCCTTCCTTTTAAATGAAAGAATTAGCATATTTCTCTCCTATTGTGTGTAAAGGCAGCTTGACATACAAAAAAGAAAAGAAAAATAGACTTTACCCCATTATTTATGGTGCAGTTTTGCTCACATAAAAAGTTTTAACAGGACTTAGTGCCCAGCATATTCATCTAATACATGGGCTGTAGCTGATCAAATAGGATAAATGTTAGATAGATATTTGCAAAATGGAACACAAATTGCTTTACAACAAAATATCTACCAGCAGCTGAAATATACAATTTCAGTTAGCCAAGGATGAGCATAAATAAATAAAACAATAATTGTTTCACTAAGCCTCTGGGCCATATAATCTGTCCGTGGCATTCCCAGGTTCTCATAGATTGTCAGTTCCCTCAGCTGTTAACCCAATTTCCCTGTCATAATTTTGGCTGCTTTCTGCTTTTCTCCTACCACAAAGGCTGTTAATGCTACCCCAAAACTTTCACCACTGGGTGCTCAAAATAAATAAGCATTACTATAAAATAAGCCTATACATCTATTCTACATAGAAATATTCTATACCTCTATGAACTATATACCTTACACACATCCTACATTAAGTGGTATCAATTAACTCTTTGTTAACTAAATATAAAAGTATTAGGATATTTTTTGCAGCAAAATTAATATCATTTGTTACCTTCTGCATGGTAAGTTGATCGTGACTGTATGTTAAAACTATGCTCTGAAATGTTGATGCTTCATAGTAACAAAAGAACAAGTATAAAGTCACTGATAAAACAAACACTATTTGTCAATAGCAAACACTCAGGTATGTTTGATATCTTACTTATTTCTAAGTGTACATGTTAGGAGCAGATCCTCAGCTGATGTAACTTTACCTTCTTTCAAGACAATGGAGATACACAAGTTTTCATCAGTTCAGATTTATATCACTTCACCCCAGTATAATGTTCTGAGCGCTGTTGAAGTTAACACTTTATAGAGCCCTATATAATAATATAGATATATCATAGAGAGGAAGTACTTAATTCCTGTGCTCTTACTGAATATCATGTAAAGCCTATTGTATTTATTGCACAACTAAAATGTACTATGAAATTGATATGATCTTAGGATGCAGAAAGAATGTAGTTCCAGTAGTAAACGTGTTGAGCTGAAAATCAGCTACATAAATTACAAACAAACTGATAGCAGATTACATCTTCAGCATATAAATATAAGTAGTATCTTCATATTTGAATTATGAACATAAGTGCCATACTGGATCAGAGCAAAGGTCCATCTAGCCCAGTATTATGTCTCCGACAGAGGCAGAAATAGATTCAACAAAGGGAGAGCATTGAAATAACTTTTGAACCATAAAAATGGCTGGTTAATAACAGTTACAGTTTAGTTACAGATTCAGTTTAAAATATGTGTAAAAATCAAAGAATTGCACCAAGCATTGACCTACATTAAGTTCACAATGTAGCTTTCTATTTTAATTATCAAATGTTATGCAAGGTGCTGATTTTTTGTTGTAGGCACTAGATTTCCAAAAAGCATACAATACATAGAAGTAATAAAAGTGCAAAGCTATACTTTTTTCTGTGATGACAAAATTGTTTTAGAAATAGCCCCAGAAATGTTTCCTTTTATAAAGTTATGTACACTTATTTGTCACATCATGTAACAATGTTTATTTTAGATCATGTTGTCAGGGATACCTCTTGTTAATTTTTCCACAGAATACCAAGAGTAATTTTACTTTCAGGCTAATACCCAACTATCTATTTGCTACAATGAAGAATTTAAAATTTTTAAATTAAACAGAACATAGAACATCTAGTACACATTTTCCTCTCTAGAAATCAACAGGGATAGGTACCAATTTCCTTTATATTCTGAACTCTAAGGCTAGGGGCAGACATTCAAAAAGCCTGAGCCAGAATTGATTCAGTCTTTGTAGGTTAGTCTAACCCACAAAGTTTGAACCAATTTGAAGGTGGATAGACATTCCCTTTTCATTCCAGAAATGCAGGCATATGTCTGCAGTTGCTAAAGCGAGAAGCCAGGGGGCACTATAGCAGCCCTCCCTTCCCTTCCATAATGCTGAGCTGAAGGAGGGGGCATGGCCAGGCCCTTACAGGATGCTCTGATTAGGGGTGGGTTTGAACTCCCCCCCTGGCCTGCACTGTCTCAGGCTTTTCCCTCCACTCACTGCTCAAAGGGTGAAGGTGTTGCCAGACCCCAGCTGCAGACTAGAACTCTGAGGCAAAGTGTGTGGTGGGGAGAGGTGTGCAGCGTATGCATCTGTTAATGATACTGAGCTTTTCGGTCTCCCTCTCCCTGTCTGCAAACCCATCTGCAAATCTGACAGGGCTGCAAACCATGGTGTTTATCAGCCCATTAGCAA